CTTTGAGTATGAACTTTCCTATTCGATTTGCCTCCATAAAACACAAATCAAGTCTCTCCAATCAAAAAGTTAAAACTGGCATGCATAAAGGAAGGAACACAATCGCTAGCTAGGTCAGATTGGAGCAACTTTTTTTGAGATCACGCATGGTTGGGAACAATAATACTGGAATGCAAGGTTCACTTGGTGAATCACGCCAAAACCAGCTGTGACCATCTCACGGGTTAATCTCACGCCCGTGAGATTAACAGATGAGCCGTGAGAAGTCCAGCATTTCAATTACACAAACACGGCTCATCTCACGGCCGTGATACTGTCGAACCCAACCCGTGAAAACCCCTGGAACTCCCCCTCTTTTTTAAAAAAATCTAACGGTACATCTCCCGGCCGTGAGATTTTCAGATGTGAGGCGTGTTTTTTAGTTTCAGCTGTGACCATATCACGGGTTAATCTCACGCCCGTGATATTTACAGATGAGCCGTGAGAAGTGCATTTTTACAGATGAATCTCTAATCAGAAAAATAATACTAGAATGCATAAAAGAATGAACTAATGATTAAGCATGAGGAGAAGAAGTCCAAGGTTCACTTGATGAATCACGGCATAACCTATCAATTGCATCACAATCTTGCTCTAATAGTAAACTGAAGTACTAATCACATAAACGTAGACGGAGCCAGCATTCAAACGCAAATAAAAAGCTCAAATGAATGCAAAGAATCACATAAGACTAATGCAAAGCTCATGCAAAGAATCACAGAAGACAAATGCTTCGATTACCCTTTTCTAGAATACATCCACACAACAACCATACTACAAATAGTTGCTAGCTTAACCACAATGGGAACATGATTAGGACTCCTCTCCTAGCGCTCACAAAGACAAGATGAATCGCATGCTTGGAATGACGATTATGTAACTCAACAAGGCAATAGCTCTCTCGACACGTGCAACTCACACCGGTTTTCCAAGTAAAATGGAGTTTCCATTTATGAAAAAGTAAACAAAAAAAGTTTCCAAAACTAATTTATGATATCATTTTCATGAGATAGCATTTAGCTATGGTGGAAAACCACATAAAGAACACATGATCTTTGCTTGGTTCATGCATGCTATTTCCTAGGCTCTTTCACCAAGTGTGAGTTTTCTTGGTGACAAGCATTTTCCTCTTTGGTACATGATTAAATTGTTCACTACCCAGCAAGGCAACCACAACCATGCACAACCCTCCCTTCAAGCTTCAATGTGTAAATCAACTCACAATGAACTTTAGTAGCTGGAAATCTATGGCTGTATGGTTAATGGAGGAGCAACCAACAACCACATTACACCACGTTGCTTTGACAAAGACCTCTCTGCCCATATGAAAAGAAGCTTTTTGGAATTGACAACATGTTCCTTCCCACAGGAGACACAGCCACACCAAGGAAAATAGACCAGCAGAAGTAGAACATGCTACTTATCATGACAAGTTTAGAATCAACCAACTCACTCGTAATTGTGTAAACAATAAGATGGTCTACAAGATGAACTACAATGGCTTTCAGAAGGATTTCGATCAACATCGACCTACATCTATGAGGTACACAATTAAACCAATACCAGGACATCAACAAGCAGGTCCCATATGTGAATTGATAGTTTGCTTTGACACTAAATCAGTCAATATATAGCTAATTATCAAGCTAAACACAAAGAAGATAGTACAAGGACATCAACCTGGTCAAAGGACATGACCAATTAAACTCATAAACCTAAAACGAGCATGGAATTTCAATCCCCCTACCGAAATGTGTAAATCTAGAACATCCCAACAACGAATGCAACAAATTCGGTCGATACAAGTGCCCCCTAGAAGAATGAAGAACAACAGACTTCCTCCACCGCCATTACCACCAAAGCTTCCCCACAAAAAGGAGAATCATTAACCACAAAAACAATGAATGTTGTGAATTCGTCCGATTCGAATCCTCCCACGAAGAAGATGGAAGAACTACAACAACAACATCCATCCAAAACTTCCTCACCAAAGGAAGCATTATCAAGAAGATTGGATAACTTCTACAGCTGCATCAGATGACCCGGGTTCAAGAAGAGTTGAAGGGATTGAATATTCCAAAGCATGCATAATTTGCAGCGACATCATTCCAACAAAGACTACTCCATCATATCGATCAGCCACAACCATGCTCTAAATATCCTAACTAAGTTTGACCTTAATGTCTCATCATTCATGGATGATTCATAGGTCTTATAAGTAACTAAAGTTTAACGATGCAGCCTTTCTATCTACCATATCATATCATATCAATCCTCCCACGAAGAAGATGGAAGAACTACATCAACAACCACAACCACAACCGCAACCATAACAACAACAACCACAACTGCTGTGAATTCTTCAGACTCGAATTCTTCTACCCTAACAACAGAAAAACCCAATGCTCCTCCTCAACAGAAGAAGATCGAGGAACAACAACAACAACAACAACAACAACAACAACAACCTTCTAAGGATGTTGCTGAAACGGAGACAAATCAAGCACAACCTCAACAGCAAAAACAAGGTGAAATGAAGGTAAATGCTGCAAATTCTCCTTCAAAACAAGTGAAGGAACAACAGGAACCGCCATTGCAGCAAATTATCAAGCTAAACACAAAGAAGATAGTACTAACCGAAAAAAGTTGCGGTGGAGGAGGTAGGCCAGCGGTCTTCGTTTGCTATCGATGGGAAGAGGGCTGTGCAGGGTCTTCGTTTGCTATCGATGGGAAGAGGGGGTTCTGTGCAGAGTCGTCGTTTGCTATCGATGGGAAGAGGGTCTTCGTTTGCAATCGACGAAGAGATGCTCGCTCTCGTCGTCCCTTGCTCGCCGCCTTCACTGTGGTCGTCGGAATCCGGCTCGCCGCCTTCACTGTCGTCGTCGGAATCCGGAATCCAAATCGCTGCAATCGACAAGCTTCTTCTACTCGTCGTCGCCCACTGCTCGCCGTCTTCACTCGTCGTCACCCAATGCTCGCCGTCTTCACTGCTCGCTAGCTGCGTGGAGAGGATCGAAGGAAGGAAGGGTTTCGGCGGTGAGAAAGAGGATCGAAGGAAGAAGGATTGTAATTGGTTTCCGACAACCGGTTGTACCGGTTACAACCCACAAATAAAATAATAAAATAATAATTTAAATGAAATCTAATGGTTGATATAGTTTGGACATGATCTAATGGCTGTAAATGTTTTATAGTACCAATACTATAAAGCACACTAAAATGACTCTTAGCAGAAATGTAATTTATAACAATACGGAGAATTTCACAGCTTGCACTGCTCTATGAAATACTTCCAAATTCCGTGGCGTAGCACGGGCTTCCATCCTAGTATTTTTAATAGTGTGAACCAGTCAGTCGCCTGTAGGCTGAATCTCTCCCTATTTTTAAACTTACTAGGAAGTAGATCATCGTTTAAGTACCAAAGTCCTCGATTAACTACAGGACGTGATTGAATTAGATACAACAGTGAAACAAATTGTGGAGGCAGTATAAACTTCTTACATTCTTCTGAATTGGGTGCTCGATTATTTATCCACTTATGGCCAGATTGGTGGAGGCCAATGATGGTACTACCACTATGCTTGTCAACTTGTTTCACTGTCTATTTTCCCCATTCTAGCTAGGAATGATTGTGATAAAAAAATTTTACTCTTGATTGGCCAGCTAATATCAATGGAACCTCACGGACGATGACCTGCCTAATTTGGTGAATAATTAAATCGCTTTAAAACAATGGGATCTGCGAACTTTTTGGTGCTGCTAAACAGGTACAGTTTTCTGGTTTTCATCTCAATTACTTTGTCAGAATGACCAATGCTCATAAGCACCGGTGTTTTCGTTTAAAAGACATTTATACTACAAGTTGAACTTAACCTTTAACATTATAGTACGAATTCAATATGTACATATACATTTTTCATACAAATTGTTTTATAATACAAACTGAACTAGTACATTGAACATTAAGGTACAAATTCAGCTTGTACATATACATTTTTGTACAAATTCCTTTATGATACAAATTGAACTTGCTCCTTTACCGTTATAGTACAAATTCAACTTGTATCTATATCTTTTCGTACAAATTCATTATGGTAGAACTTGTATCTTCAACGTTATAGTACAAGTTCAATTGTACAAGGTAAAATTCCTCTTAGATTTGATGACATGACAGTGACTTATTGGTGAATGTTAACAATAAGTTGTTATCAAATGGAGGCAGTTTGGGACAAAGAAAGAAACCCAAATCTCTCTTTTTCTTGGGTTAACCAAGTTTTGTTAGAGTTTTCTAATTCCATTTTTTACCCAGTGACTTCGTTGATACCTATTTTGTGATTGGCGCTTGCAACTTGTTCTCTTTCGTATAGGACATGTCTGCCCCTAGTTAGCTTTGGTTTCTTTCTGATCATAGAGCCTAGCAATCCATTTTGGACAGATACCCCATCTTTTCATCCAAGAACAATTTCTTTCCTTTTTCTTTTCCCCTAAAAAAGCTTGATACTTTTTGCTCAGTAATGGATTCTCCACCATTTCCAGAATGAAAAAACTTTCTCTCTATGAATCTTATTCTTCTCTTCTCAAGAGGACCCGCAAACCACTCGTGAAAGTACAAAACACCAACACCACAGCCACATGTGTTTCTGGCTGTTGGTACTGACATTATTATTTGTATGCTGACATGCAAAACTAATAGGTGCATATGCCCCTCATGATCTTAACTATCTGTTTTTGCAATGAGAAATTGAGAAACTGTTGCTGGTGAAATCTGTGTTCTGCTCTTTTGATCTCGCAAGTTGCTGTCCCTTTCAGCACAAGCTGGTATTGTTCTGCCTGCAATAGTAGAGCCAGAGCTATTTCTTTAGGACAGTTAGCCCTAGGTAGCCATGTAGTTCTATCTTCGCAAGAATTGAAGGTAAAGCTCGTTTTAGAAGAATTCAAGATCCAATTGTTTTGCTGTCTTTCTGGGAATAACCTTTTTCTTAGGGTTCCAATTTTCAAGTGATGGATTCTTGACTCTCAATAGCGAAAGAAGCTTAGCGACCTTATGTTCTAATATCCCTCTACCACCACAAGGAAGGCCATCAAATTCCTCTAGGGAGCAAAAGAGATAGGAAAGAACGTATAAAGGGTAGTTGTTTGTATGCTTCATTGATCAATCAATTAGTCCTTTCCAGCTGATGGCTTCATTGAAGTGGACCCTTCAGTATGCAATTTGTAAAATAGGAATCAGGGCTCCATTTAATATCTAGAGGAAAGAAAAAGAAGCTCCATGCGAATCAGAACTTACCACCATCCCAAGCCAATCATTCTAAAAAAAAAAAATCCTAAGCCAATCATTCTCCTTTTGTAGTCTATTCTTTTCTTGATGGATTCACTCTTAAGAAATGGTGGGTGGAGAGGAAAAAGGAGGAAAATATATCAAGCAACTAGCTAGGGAACTAAATTCCTCACATCTTTACCACGGGAATGAAACGCATACAATGGAAGAACCACAAAGAGATAAGATTGATCGAGAAAAAGTATCTACAAGCTGCTTTCTTTGTTCAAAAGGTTATTGAAAAAAAGAGCAAGTTGATGATCTTTATGATTAGCCTCTCAAATTCATGTAAGCTAAAAGGAGGCCATGCACTATTTTGATCAATATAATACTTCTATATAGATTCTATAGTTATGCGTTTGACCTATAACCTTCTTCGTCATCAAACCCTGCCCACTTCTATGTGCAGATCACAACTCAAATGGGTTCTTGATCTTGCTCACATTTGATGTCTCCTTGGTCTTGTTCGACGGCTTGCTTGAATCGAATCTGCAAGGATCTGCCTCGATAAGTAACTGGACAACCTCGTTCATGGTTGGCCTTAGGGCCGGAGTCTTGCAGGTACATCGAATGGCGATCCTAAGGACTTGGATCATCTCATCTCTGAAGGATCCTGACAGCTTCTTGTCTAGGACTTCCATCACTCCCTCCTTGGTCTCCACTTTGGTTGAGACCCAATAAATGATGTTCTTGTTGTCTCCAAATTCTGCCTCGACGGGCTTCCTCCCCGTTATTAGCTCCAACAGCACGACCCCAAAACTGTACACATCGCACTTGGTAGTTGCCTTCGATGAGAATGCATATTCTGTGACACCAAGTAGACGACAAAAGAATTAGAATGAGAAACATGTAAAATAATAAACTTGTTAAGCCTAGTTAGGGTTTGGCTAAATGGTTCGACATAATTAATTAAACCAAAACCCTTTTAAGGAGTCGATGATGGTAGCTGATAGCTAAATTTAGTCAGAAAGTTAATAATTCTAATGGTTAACCTAAAATCACAAATTCGATTTGGACACAAGAGTTCATGCTTTTCTTGTGGTGAATTTTCTTTGTTTCTTTCTTTCTATTTGAACAATTTAGTTAAATAATCTGTATGGGTTTTTGTTTATATTACACTTTCAGTTTATCATCAAAACCTTGAGAATCATTAATGTAGAACTAAAAGCATTGATATAAACTCAGTCACCAACTAGGTAAACCGGAAAATCGTTTAACCCTATTTAGCCAATTCAGTTTCGAATTACCCGGAACCCGAAAACCGAGTAGCAATTCCTAATCCGCCTAGTTTATCTTGCATGCAAGAAAGATGCAATAGAGGTAAGTTACCTGGAGCCAAGTAACCATATGTGCCAGCAATAACAGTAGTAGTGGAATCTTTCCCACCTCTAGCTTGCAAAACCTTGGCTACCCCAAAATCTGCAACCTTAGGCTGGTAATGGATATCCAACAGGATGTTGCTTGACTTGATATCCCGGTGGATGATTGGTGGCAACAGGTCATGATGAAGGTACGCTAACCCTTGGGCGACCCCAAGTGCTATCTGATGACGTGCAGCCCAAGTCAGATGAATCCACCCTTTGTGCAGCGCATCCCACAAGTTCCCATTCGGCATGTACTCGTAAACCAGCAGGCTGCAATCCAGGCTCGAGAAATAACAGTAGAGCTTCACTATGTTCTTGTGCCTTATGCTCCCAAGTGTCTCCACCTCCGTCTTCAGCTCCTTGTCCATAAGCAACTGGGAAGTGACATCTGATGCCGAGTCTTTCCCTCTTTTGCTGCTCCACAGCCTCTTCACTGCCACCACTTCCCCACTGCTGAGCTCGATCTTGTACACCGTGCCTGACCCACCACGCCCCACTATGTTCTTGTCGACCATGGATTCAACAATCTGTCTCTGGTCGAAGCTAATTCGGTGGAAGCTCTTCACATCGTAGGAGAAGAACGATGTGGACATGGTCTCGTCGTGCTCCATCACCGTCCTTTCTCTACTGAATCGACGTTTGAGGAGTAGCAGAATTCCCACTACTATGATGGCTACTGAGACGCCAATTACCCAGATGGAGTTCATCTTCTTTTTGTAGCTGCTTCTCTGTGAGCATATTGGGAACATTTGATTGGACGATGAAGTCACGGGAACCGGAACGCAGAGGCCCGGGTTTCCTGAGAAGCTCTCCACAAGCCCTTCTTTGATCAGTATAACTGGGATTGGACCAGAGAGGAGATTGTTTGAGAAGTTTATGGAAGTCGCTGAAAGTTCACCGAGGCTCTCTGGGATAGTCCCAGTCAAAAGGTTGTTGGAAAGATCAAGAACGTTGAGTGATTTCAGGGAAGAGAGCGAATTGGGGATTGAAGAATTGAGCTTGTTTCCTTGCAGCATGAGTAGATTAAGCTTTCTGAGGTTCCCAATCTGTGGAGGGATTCCTCCCCACAAGAGATTATTGCTGAGATCCATCTTCACCAGGTTTACAGCGCCAGAGATTTCAGGCGGCGGTGTCCCTGTTATCTTGTTGCTCTGGATGAAAAGCTCGGACAAGTTTCTAGCAACGGCGATCGATTTATCAATTGAACCAGTGAAATTATTGTAAGCAAGATCAATAATTGAAGCATGTGGGAGACCCAGAAGTCCCTCAGGGATCGACCCTTCCAAACGGTTGTGACTGACGCGGAATCGCAACAGAGTCTTGCATTGCGTCAAGCTCTTTGGTAGCTCCCCGGAGAACAAATTATCCAGTACCAGAAAGTAGAGCAGCTTACCTCCGTTGCAAATCTCCGCCGGCAAATCCCCCGAGAGCCGATTCTCCGACAAGTCAAGCACCATCATTTGCGACAGTCTCCCGAGCCCTTTGGGAACTTCCCCTGTTAGAGAATTGCCATACAGCGACAAAATGCGTAGTGATGTTGACTCGGCTAAAGCGTCGGGAATCTCTCCTGACAGGCTGTTGTTGTAAAGCTGCAGCACTTGGAGCTTCGGCAGGCGGCATATAGACGCCGGGAGGTTGCCGGTCAACTTGTTGACGGATATGTCCAAGTCCACCAGCTCGGTCAGATTGCCAAGCTCTTCCGGTATGGGACCGGAGAGCTCGTAATTGTAGTACAGCTCGAGTGACTGGAGATTCTTCAGCAGCCCGAGCTGTACGGGAATTCCTCCCGTTAGGTAATTCCCGCTCAACTCGAGATCGACGAGCGAGGTCATGTTCCCTAGCCAACGGGGGATCGTACCTCGTACCATGCAGGTGGTCAGTATCATGGTTTTGAGCTTTGTCAATCGGGAGAAGCTATCGGGAAGCTGCCATAAGTTGAGGTTCCCATTCTCGTTGAAGTCGAGGAGCTCCAGGTTGGTGAGGTTGGCGACGGAGAGTGGGAAATCGCCGGTGAAGAGGTTGTAGGACATGTTGAGGACTCTCAGTGACTTCAGGGGCGAGAAATCGGGAGGGAATTTGCCGGCGAGGTACAGAGCGCTCATGTCGAGCTCTTCGAGGAGCGAGCAGTTGGCGACGATGGTGGGGAGGAATTGATCGCTGCCGTGGAGATGGTTGTGGCCGAGACGGAGGATGCGGAGGTTCGGGAGGTAGGAGCAGATATCGGGAGGGAAGCTGCCGGAGATTTGCTTCCATGAGATGTCGAACTTTTCGACTTGGCCTTGGGCGTTGCAGGCGATGCCTGTGAAGTTGCAGAAGGGTTTGCCGCCGTCGATGTCCCAGTCGGAGAGAGTGGGTCCTGAGAGGGAAGCTTTGATGAGAGTGAAGAAGTGGGATTGGTTGGTGGCGGTGGCATGGAGAGGGGGAAGAAGGGAGAAGAGAAGGAACAGAAACAGGGGAAGAGCCATTGGAGAGACGGAAGGGAGGGAAAGGTTTGCCGAGAGAGAGTGGTGAAGAGTGGGAAGCAGAGAATATAAATGGGGGAGGGGGAAAAGGTGGAAATACTACTACAATATTCGGTCTGAGTATTCCGGCAAATTAGTTTTCTCAGGTCAAATTCCGGACGGAAATTTTTTTTTTCTTCTTCTTTCAGTGCGCCTATCCCTCTCACCTTTGAATCCCGCGCGCTAGCCATCTTGTTCTTCTTTCTTGTTTGATTCCTGATGCACATGTTTGTTATATTGCCTATATGAACCATCAGTGGGCTGTAGGCTAAATCCGTAGGTGGAGCTAGGGTGTTCGGACTTCGGAGTGTGTCACAAGATACAACTAGTTATGGAGAGAAAAATAATCGGCTCTGAGATATGCATATATGCGATCTAACTCAAAATATTCGGTTTGCTTGTATGCTCTAGATTGGTGTTTTCTGTATGATTAATTTGTATGAGAAAATTGATGTTAAACTTTTATTTTGAAAGAAACTTGTTATTGTAAATTTTTTACCACAAAAACCCACGGGTATCCATGAACCCGCGGATACCCAGCGGGTTGGGTTGGGTTTGAGTTTTTCAAACCCAACGGGTTTTACCCCGAATTTTTTTTGGCGGATATACCTATGGGTTTGGATTTGACAAAATCCGCCCCAACCCGACCCATTGCCATCCCTACACAGAAGTACCCAGAACATGATTGAAATATATACAATAGTGAAACAGATGATGGAAGCAGTATACTGTAGTCTGTATACACTTTTTACTTTTTTTTTTTTTTTTTGGGTAGAAAACACTTTTTACTTTCTGCTGAATTGGGTGCTCGATTATTTTATCCAATTGTGGCCAGATTAATGGAGGTCAATTGTGGTACTGCCACTATGCTTGTCAACTTGTTTCACTGTCTATTTCCCCCATTGTAGAAAGTAATCTCTGATAAGTTTTTCTCTCTTGATTGGCCAGCCAATGTCGATGGAACCTCACGGACGATGGACTGTCTAATTTGGTTGTTAATTAAATCGCTTTCACTTTTTGGAGAGTGGAGCAATGGAATCTGAAACTAATTTTTGATGCTGCTGAACAGGTAGGGTTTTTTTTCCTGGTTTTCATCTCAATTAATTGTCTGAAAGGCATTTAGATTGGATGACTTGATAGTGACATATTGGTGAATGTTAACACTAAGTTGCTTAGCAAATGGAGACAGTTTGGACAAAGAAAGAAACCCTAATCTCAGTTTTTCTTGGGTTAATCAAGTTTTGTTAGGGTTATCTTATTCCATTTTTACCCAGTGACTTGGTTGGTAACTATTTTCGGATCGGTGCTAGCTAGTTGTTCTCTTTCGTATGGGACATGTCTGCCCTTAGTTTGCTTTGGTTTCTTTCTGATCATGGAGCCTAGCCTAGCAATCAATTTTGGACAGATACCCTGTCTTTTCATCCAAGAACAATTCCTTTTTTTTTTTTCTTCTTTTCCCCTAAAAAAAGATTGATGCTTTTTGCTCAGTAATGGAGTCTCCACCATATCCAGAACTCTCAGAATCTTATTCTCAAGAGGACCCCCAAACCACTCGTGAAAATAGAAAACACCAACACCAAGGCCACACGTGTTTCTGGCATTATTATTTAATTTGTATGCTTACAAGCAAATCTAACATGTGCAGATGTTCTCATGTTCTTAACTCTCTGTTTATGCAATGAGAAATTGAGAATTTTTGGCTGGTGAAATCTATGTTTTGCTCTTTTGATCTCGCAAGTTGTGGTCCCTTTTATCACAAGTTGGTATCAGCGGCGGATCTAGAGCACAGAAGTGCACTGGGCCGTATTTTATTAGAAAATTAGAATAGTAAAAAAATATAATGATTATAATTTTTTTACAATGTAAATTGTACACGACGGTATTTTAATTTAGCGAATGCATTAATAATGGAGTCCACATCCATACCAATAGTATACATTGTTTCAAATAAAATACTTGAGCAATCGACTAGAAATCCATCGCTCATTTTGTTGCGCAAATCAATTTTCACATGTTTCGTTGTTGAAAAGGTTATATTCGTATTAGCTGTTGAAACGAGCAACATCAACACTAGACAAATCAATCTACTAATCAATTTGCATTGTGTTTCCATCCCTATATCCACCAGCTTCTCTAGTAAATTTTCCAAGGTAACAAACCTCATATATGTTTTAGTCTTTTACGTTTCAAACTTTTTGAATTTTTAGGTTTCATTGTTTTATTAGACGAATAACCTTTGGGGTTATAATTTATAAGCTAAATTTAGAGTAGTGATTTTGAATATGTTCATCTGAATTATTTTTCTAATTATACCCAATCTTATTTTAAAATAACAACGACCCGAATATCTAAAATCACAAAATTCATAAGACCTATACTAACTATGGATCCAGAGGAGGGCTGGGCCGGGGCCTGGGGTGGCCACCCCCTGGATCCACCACTGGTTGGTATTGTTATACGTACAACAGTAGAACCAGAGCTTCTTCTTGAGGAAAGTTATCCCTAAGTAGCTATGTAGTTGTAACTGAGAAAGAATTGAAGCTAAAGCTCCTTTTAGATGAATTCATGATCCAATTGTTCGGTTATCTACGTGTCTTTCTGAGAATCCCCTTTTCTTAGGGTTCCAATTTGCATAGAGAAACAAGCTTAGCCTTATGTTCTGATATCTCGCTACCACAAGGAAGGCCATCAAATCCCTCTAGAGAGCAAAAGAGATGGGAAAGAGAAAGAACGTAGAAAGGGTAGTTGTATGCATGCTTCTTTATTTTGCTCTGTCCTGGGGATTGATATTTGATATGGCTTCAATTTCATTGAAGTGGACCCTTTTCAGTACGTAATTTGTAAAATAGGAATAAGGACTCCATTTCATAACTAGAGAGAACAAATTAACATAAAACAAAGAAGCTCCACGAGAATCAGAACCTACCACCATCATCCCAGGCCAATAATACTCCTTTTGCAGTTTATTCTCCTTTATGGATTCACTCTTAAGAAATGGTGAGTGGAGAGGAAAAAGGAGGGGAAGAAACAAGAAATTCTCAAACAGCTAGGGAGAGAAAGCGCTTTCATTTGTGGGTCTACAAAAAAAAAAAAATCTTTTATATGCTATGCGTTACAATAAAGCAGGTATGGTATATATTGTAACTAAATTCCTCATATCCTTACCAGAGCAATCAAACAAAACCAATGGAAGAACAGGAAAGAGATAAGATTGATTGAGAAAAAGTATATACAATCTGCTTTCCTTGTTGAAAAGGTAATTGGAAAAAAAAAGCAAGTTGATGATCTTTATGATTAGCCTCTCAAATTCATATAAGCTACAAGAGGCTCTGTACTATTCTAATCAATATAGTACTTATGAATAGATTCTATGGTTATACTTTTGACCCGTAAGCTTCTTCCTCTTCAAACCCTGCCCACTTCTATGTAGATCACAACTCAGGGGAAGAGCCATTAGAGAACAAGAGATTCGTCTAGTGGTAATACCAGTCTTGAACCTAGAGGTTTCAGGTTCAAATCCCTTTAAATCATCCTTATCCAAGAGCCATTGGAGACAGTAACAAGGCAATTTCTCATAGAAAATTGGAAGAAGGAAAGTTGTTCTTCCTTCTGCCTTCTTCCTTTCATATATATATATATATATATCCCAATTGTTCAGTACAAGACAAAGCCAACTCAGGAAGGACATGAATGACTTTGATGATCTGCTCAATCAATTTTTCACGAACTAGGTGGCAATCTAGTTTGATATACTTGATCATCTCGTGAAATGTGGGATTTTCATCTATGTAAAGATGATTGATTATCGCAGTAAAGAGAGACTGGTTTAGGATGAGGCACCTTGACATCTTGCAAGAGGTAGAGAAGCCACTGAATCTCGCATGTTGTATGCGCAAGAGCTCGATATTCCGCTTTGCAAGAAGATCGAGAGACAATGGATTGATTTTTGGACTTCCAGGAAACAAGGGACTTACCAAGGAATAAGTAGTTGACAGTGATAGACGTGTATCAGGGCAGGAACCCCAATCGGAATCACTAAAGGCCTTTAATTCAAGAGAGGATTGCAAAGAGAAGAAGATACCAGTACCAGGACTCTTCTTGAGATACCTGAGGATTTGAGTAACTGCCTTCAGATGAGTGACAGTGGGATGACACATAAACTGACTGACTTGTTGAGTGATGAAACTAAAATCTGGACGGGTGGTGGTCAAGTAAATCAGTTTTCCAACCAAACTTCTATAAGCAGTGGCATCAACGAGATCAGTGTCATCATCCATTTTCAAATGGATCTTGTAATCCATGGGAGTAGAGACAGGTTTGGCTCCAAGATGACCAGCCTCATCAAGAATCTCAAGAGTGTATATACGTTGGGAAAGATGAATTCCCTGCGGACTTCTGGCCACTTCAAGGCCAAGAAAGTATTTGAGAGCACCCAGGTATTTAATACTAAAAGCCTGATGAAGATGTGCTTTCTCATGATTGATCACCATAAGATCATTCCCACCAATGATCAAATCATCAACATAAATCACGATAGATGTATAAGAAGTGGGAGATACCTTGGTGAAGAGAGAATGATCTGATTTGCTCTGGAGATAGCCCTGCTACAATAGACTGTCTGATAGTTTAGAAAACCACTGTTGAGAGGCATGTTTGAGGCCATAAATGGCTCTCCTGAGTTTAGAGACAGGATTCCTAATGTTTGCTGGTGCTGCAACACCCTGAGGTAGCTTCCTGTAGACATCCTTAGTTAAATCGCCATGTAGAAAGGCGTTGTTTATGTCTAGTTGATGAAGATGCCAGTTGCGCACTACTGCAACAACCAAGAACAAGCGAACAATGGTAATTTTAACAACCAGCGCAAATGTATCCATGTAACCAATCCCTTCACGCTGTGTGTATCCTTTAGCAACAAGCCGAGCTTTGTTCCTTTCAATGTCGCTAGTGGACAAGTACTTCATCTTATAAATCCATTTGTTGCCAATGGCAATAGCTCTTGGGGGGGGGGGGGGGGGGGGGGGGGGGGGGGGGGGGGGGGGGGGGGGGGGAAGGGGAACGATATCCCAAGATTTGTTTCTTTCCAAGGCTGTGACTTCATGTTGCATAGCTAAATTCCATTCATTGGACTTTGCAACCTCATGATAAGAAGAAGGCTCTTTGTTAGCAGAGATGGTGAGAACAAAGTTCTAATGAGATGGATTAAGCTTATCATAAGAAATGTAAGATTCAATGGGATACCTGCTGCTGGTAGTTGCTGGACACCGCTTGGATGCAAGTAATTGCGGCCTGCGGTTGACCAAGTAGACGAGGAGGTGGGCGAATCAGACGAGCAGGTAAGGGTCGAGGAGAAAGAGTAGAGCTAGAAGAAGTGGATGATGACAACAGAGGGTGGAGTGTCAGGTGGAGCTTCACCAACTGAATCAGAGTCATGATCAGAAGGGATATTGGAGGAAGGAGGAACAAGAGGTAGATAAGGAGGGTCATCATCCTCCTAAACTGGAATGAGAATAGAAGAAACTGGAAGGGAGGAAGGTGAGGGAGTAGTGGTGACAGCAAAAGGGAAGACAAATTCATGAAAAATGACATCACGGGAAGTGAAAATCTGATGAGTGTCTAAATCATATAGTCTGTAACCCTTTATACCAGTGGTAAAATCAATGTTAATGTACTTTCTTGCACAAGAGGAGAACTTGTTTCAGGTACTGGGAGAAGTGGAGGCAAATGTAAGACATCCAAACACTTTAAGGAAGGACAAATCAGGGGGTTTGTGATGGAGAAATTCAAAAGGGGATTTGTTGGAAAGAACCCGAGAAGGAATTCGATTGATTAGGAAAACTACATGGAGGACACAGTCTGACCAAAATTCAATAGGAAGATTGGCTTGGAATTTTAAGGCATGAGCAACAGAAAGAATGAGTTGGTGCTTACGTTCAGCCTTAGAATTTTGTTTAGGGGTTTCAACACAAGATTGTTCATGTATGATACCTTTGTTTTTAAAGGAATCTGTCATTTTGAACTCTTTTTTTTTTTTGACAAATGTCATTTTGAACCATGGTTGTCAAACCGGTTTCATGCCGGCCGGTTCAACCGGGTTCAACCGGTACCGGTCAGCAAACCGGCTGGAAAGGGGCCGGTATTTAACTGTGATCAAATCCGGTCAATACCGGTCAGACCCGGTCAAATCCGGAAATTCCGGCCGGTTAGACCAGAAACCGGAATTTAGTGGTACACACATTATATCCAAAAATAAACATCCTCCATAGGATTCGAACAAAGTACCTCATGTTCATTTAAGTTTAACTCACACACCAGTAGACTACAAGCAATTTTGTTGTCTATATTAACCTTATATGTTATATATCTAATACTAAATTTTACACAAATCATTATAAACATTAATAAAATTCATTTAATAAAATTTTGTTTTTAAGCATCTAATTGTTTAGTATTAGTTATCAATTCTTGGCTATAAATTATTTTGTGTGAAATAATTCTTCTAATTGTTTTTTCATGATTAATTTATTTGGAATTGAGGATTTCCATTTTCCTCATGTATTTTATTAAAACCGGCACAACCGACATGAATACTGGTTGTACCACGGTCAGACCATTTCACTTACAAAACCGGCACACCGGCATAAACCGGTTTGACAACCTTGTTTTGAACTCATTGCCTTCATTAGTTTGAAAAATGAGTTTCAACAAGATTGTAAAAGAAAATCAAATGAGGTATGGTGTCTGACTTTTGTTTCATTAAAAGGATCCAAGTCATTCTACTGAAATCGTCAACAATGGTTAAGAAGTAACGAAAACCATCATGAGAAGGACTTGCATTGGGACCCCAGATGTCCATGTGAATGATTTCAATAGCTCGACTGGAAACTGACTTACTGGGATGGAAAGGTAACCGTTTTTGCCTTGCAAAATGTCATACATCACAACTAGGAACATGACTCATATCTATGCTAGAGTTCAATTGCTTTAGGTATGGAAGTCTAGAATAGGATACATGGCCTAACCTATAATGCCAGAGATCAAAGGGAGAAGTTGTGCTTGAGGAAACAACTTGAGGTGAATTATGAACATGTCTTCTATGCATTTTGTATAGACCATGAAGGAGCTCAGCAGAACCAATCACTTGCATCTTCATACTGTCCTGAATAAAACAAAAACCAGAAGAAAAAGTGAGAAAAGCATGGTTCTGCTGTGTAAGTCTGCCCACTGAAATTAGGTTGAATGTAAAATCTGGGACAAGGAGGACATCTTTGAGGACAAGGTCAGATGAAAAAATCACAGTCCCTACATGAGTTGCCTTAATAGCTTGACTAGTTGGTAAGTTGATATTGATCTTGGCCACAATAGTACACCTATGAAACAAATTCTTATCACATATTATGTGATATGTGGCCCCAGTATCAAGTATCCAAAGATCACGATGCAAGCTAGTATGAGCTGGAATAGATGATAAGGTATACTTGCCTGTGTCATCCAGATTCTTACTTATGAAGGCAGCAACTGAATGTGGTGAAACTGTAGAATTGTTACCAGAATTTCCTGATGAAGAACCAAAGTTGTTCTTAAGAAGTCTCATGAGGCCTTCATACTGCTCCTTGTTGAGGGGACACCTGCATTGCTGTCTTGAGTAATAGTTGAGTGTCTTGTTGAGGAACATAAGAAAGTATACCTAATCCACCTCTGGGAGACATTCCAGGAGGCCATCCATGCTTGTGATCAATGCAGTCAAAATCGCGCTTTAAAACTTAAAAGCTTATGTTTTTACCTTTTTAGGTCACCAAAACGCTTCTATGTAGAATTGTGATTTTCCCTTCCAATTTAGTCAAAATCTACGCTTTAAAACTTAAAAACTTACAATTTTACGCTTCAAGATCACCCAACCTCTTCTAGGTAAAATCGCGCTTTTGACTGCATTGCTTGTGATAGCATGTCTCTTCAGTATGGCCCTGCATCTTACAAAAAGTGCAGTAGGGTCGTTGTCCTCCAAACCTTCCTTGACCCCTGCCTCTACCTCTAGAGGTTCCAACAACATTGCTCTAGCCTGGCCTAGCTTGTTGTTGATTTGGAAAACGTATACCCATGGACTGTAGTGCTATAGATTCAATAACACGTCCCTTATCTGGTTGACTACCATAACATTGCCTCTCATATTGAACCATCCTATGAAAGAAATGAACAATTAAGTTTGTATCATGATAGAGCTTAACTGTATTAACGGCCAGATAATCAAGATTGGCTATTAAGTGCACAATTACAGTTAGGTATGGGTTGATAATTCTTGAGTTCTTCCCATACTATGGCTAGTTCTGTGTGATAATCAGACAAAGTTCTAGCTTCTTGCTTCAGAGTACATAATTGTTCTTGCAATTCTATGATTTGAACTAACTTGGCAATACCTTTCCTTTAGGGTTTTTCAGACCTCTGTAGCTGTCTTGATGCTGCACACACTTTTACCAATCAACTCGTCTACTGTCTGCAGAATCCAGCTCTTCACCATCATGTTGCATCTCGTCCAAGGCCATTCCAGAGCGTCTCCAGGCTTTGCTTCTGGGATCGTACCGTCAATGAACCCTAATTTATTTTTGGATGCAAGGGCATCGAGCATCACCACACTCCAGTCATTATAGTTGTTGGCTGTGAGTTTGAGTGAGATCAAGACCTGCCCTGGCTGCTCAAACCCATGGAGGTAGTATGGATCTGAGAGTGGGTAGTCATTTTTCGAGCCTGAGCTAGCTCTAGTAGTTGCCGCAACGGTGGCAGACTTGTTTCCATCGACCATGGTGATGACGGCGGATAAAAATGGAAGAAGCTAATGAAATCGAAGAAGGGGAAGAAGATGAAGAAAGAAGATGAAGGAAGGGTTAGGGTCCAGAAACCCTAACCAGACTCTGATACCATAACAACTTAATTTCTCAGAGAAAATTGGAAGAAGGAAAGTTGTTCTTCCTTCTACCTTCTTCCTTTCATATATATCCCAATTGTTCAGTACAAGAAAAAGCCAACTCAGGCTGTAAAAGAGACAAAACAGTGAAAATGGAAAAGTAAGAAATGTCGTTGTCGACCGTTACAATGCACGTGCCACGCTCGTGTTCACTCCTTCTACGATGCCTTTGTAGATGAAGAAAAAAATGGGGTTTCTTCTGCTGTTAGACAGAAGGTTGCACATATATATATATATATATATATATATATATATATATATAGAGAGAGAGAGAGAGAGTGGCGAAGAAGGGTAAGAAGAGGATATAAATGGTGAAGGGGAAAATGTGGAATCGTTGGTGTTAGTGTGTGGTTTTTGCTTTAGTGCAAATCTTGTTTTCTTTGTTTGCATGAACAGGCATCTCTCGGCCCATTAGATTAAATCAGGTAGAGAACAACATCAAACAATGCAAAGCAAGGATGCTAAGCACAATTTTTCACAATTCTTAGGTTATTAAGCACCAACATGCACAAACCTAAGGATGCTAAGCACCAAACATGCACAACCCTTAGATTACTAAGCACAAGCATGCACAATCAACATGAATAATACCTTAACCATTGAATTAAACAATACCCAATGACAATCATTCAATCTAAACAGGTAATTACAAAGTATTAGTTAGGGATCTACAACACCCAAGAGAAAAGAGGGAGTTTCTAGAGAGAGAGAGAGAGAGAGAGAGAGAGATTACAAATTTGAGCTCAAGATCTTCTTCTTCTTCTTCTTCTAGACTTGAATCTCCACCCAAGCCTCCAATGATGCTCCAAGATCACTCTAGCACTCTCTCTCTCTCTCTCTCTCTCTCTCTCACTCACTAGTACTCCCCTTTGGTGTTTTTGGGCAAACACTAGAGAGAAACCAATTCTTCTCCAAAAACCAGCTCTCCCCTTCTCTCTCCCTGCTGCTGTCTTCATATTTGCCCGAAAGTGATAAGTTCAAGGACACGTTGGCCAGTTCATGGCCGTGAACTCAGTCGTCTCCAAAACACAGCGCTTTGATTCCTGGATTTACGGTCAATGGCGCCAGTTCACGGTCTTAGAGACTGTGAACTCGCCTAGCGTCAGAAACTTTGGATTTGGCCCTGGACTCCATGATGTTCACGGCCCATGCCTCCTCTTCACGATCTTAGAAGACCGTAAATTGCCTTGTCCGACCGTGAACTGCGGCTGTTTCTTGGATGCCTTCTTCGGACTTTCCTTTGGTTTTTGCATTTTTTGACCCCCAATCATCCCAAAATTCGACCTCGACCCTTCCACACGTGCTAGGACCTAAAACATATAAAAACAATCACAACCTAGCGTGAAATATGTCGAGGAATGATGAAATACTAAGCTAAACGAATAAGAAATGAGGGGTAAAATGTGTACATTTGGGTCTGAATCAGTCTCATCGGCCGAATCTCATCCTCCGTCAGTATCTGGTGGGAATGGAAAGAAGCTGATCCCCGTATATCGGTGATCCTCCATGCCATAGCTCGCTTATACTGCTTCAGCAAGGCCACCAGTCTGGTCTTTTACTCGGGTGTGAGGGTCGAGCTGATGATAACTGGAAGCTTGTTCCCCTCCCGGAGAAATGCATACCCCAAGTGAGGAGGGAGGGGCTTCAGCTCCATTTTTTGTGGCTCTTCTAAAGAGATGGTGATATGGTTCGAGGATGAGATCGGCTTGAACGACTTCTCGATCTCCAGGAACTCGCCATGCTCTAGTGTTGCCAACTGCTCCTCCAGCTGCAATTCATGCGGTGCCTGCTCACCTAGCAAAATACAACGCTCAAGGGCATCATCAGTACCCGCACTCGTGATGGCGAGTGTGGTTTCAAAATCAGCAATAATGTCACACTAATTCAAGTCATCATGCAAGTAGGAATGCTTTGCATTGTCTGACACAGAAAATGTGGCTTGTTCATCCCCAACCCTCAAAGTTAACTTGCCACTATGGACATCAATCAATGCCTGGTCTACCCAAAATCAAAGGTACATCCACATCTTCATTTATGTCTAAGATAACAAAATCAACGAGATATGTGAATGCACCCACATTAACAAGCAAGTACTCAATGATACCGCTAGGATGCACAATCGACTGATCGACTAACTGAATACTCATTCTAGTAGTTCAGGGTTCACCTAAGTCTGGCTTCTTAAATAGTTTATATGGAATGACATTATTGATAGTGCCTAGGTCCGCCAAGGACTTTCCTACATGCATGCTGCCAATAATAAGAGGGATAGTAAAACTACTGGGTATTCTCTCTTCTCGGGCAGCTTGTTCTGCAGGATTGCAGAGCACTCCTTGCTCAGCATCACTGTCGACATATCTCCAAGTTTCTTCTTA